GAAAGATATTAACCTTAAAAAAGAAGAGAGAGAGAGAGGTCTGAACGAGTAAAACAAGCAGCTGGCTAACCAACGTGAACGAGTAGAGAGAGAGAAACGATGAGAGAGAATAAATTTAGAGAGAGAAACGATGAGAGATAATAAATTTAGAGAGATAAACGATGAGAGATAATAAATTTAGAGAGAGAAACGATGAGAGATAATGAATTTAGAGAGAGGTAGACGATGAGAGAGGATAAATTTAGAGAGAGGTAATCTATGAGAGAGGATAAATTTAGAGAGATAATAAATTTAGAGAGAGAAACGATGAAAGAGAATAAATTTAGAGAGAGAAAGAGGTCTGAACGAGTAAAATGTGCAGCTGTACAGACCATAAAACTCTGCGTGCTCTCACGTCACCCCCAAATACTATTTGACCGCGTGGGTCCCACTCCCCAGAACACCAAAACCTAGATAGAGAATAGATTTAGAGAGAGAGAGAGCATTTTATATATTTATTTGAGAGAAAATTACGTTTAATATTTATTTTATTTGATATTGTTTAGAAAGAGGGAGCATTTTCTTTTATATATTATGTTTAATATTTATTTTATTTAATATTGTTTAAAAATCATCCCTATATTCTATGGAAGTTAAAGACTACTTTTCATGAGTTTCATGATATATTATTGGTTAGTGATGTTGATCTTTTTACCGTGAGGCTAACAAATTAGTTGATTATGCAACCAACGGATGGGTTAATTCCTGTTCTGTGAGGTTTATTTTTTTTCAATTATTATTATTTTTATTTTATTGTATACTTTGTACTTTTACTCTGATTAATGAAAGAGTTATGTTAACGTTTTTAAAAAATAAATTACAGAGAAGTCATCGTTACTTACAATCACCTGTTAGAGAAAATCACAAAGTTTGAGAATTTTTTTATTTTTATTTTTGAGCTCGGTTATTAAAATAAATGCAACTACCCAATTTCACATCTAATAGTCAAGAATCTCAAGATTAATTGCGACTACTTTATATCGAAGATAAACGGTCTTGTTATATACTTTTAAAAAATGAATATATAGGTGATTTTTTCCTTCTATCTCTTTTTTTTTTCTTTTTTTTTCTTTTGTTTTTTTTACCAAAGAGAAGGAACCGTTTGTAAAGATAAAATAAACTTAGATAGATGGGGAGAGCACTTTTTTTTGTAAGGTAAAAAGCTCTATACCCGAATTTTTTCATTAACAAAAAAAGAATAACACATTATTTCACAATTTTATAATAGAACAGCTGTGTCAAATCATATAATAATAAAAAATAAAGAAAGTCTGACAAACGACGACACCAAATTGTTGCATCTGTAAAAACCGATATTTTTTTAGCCAAAGCATCAGCTATCATATTCACCTTACGAAAAACTTGTGTAATAGTCCATACAGGTGCCGGGAGCAGCTTTAGAAAAATAAACCTAGAGAGCAATTGATGGGTAGAAAATTTTTAGAGAGAGAAAGAGGTGAGAGAGTAGAGATAGAGAGCCTCAAACTGAGCACTATGCGACTTAGCCGGCTAACCACATTAGACGTTTCCTTACTTTATTTTTATTTTCAGTTTCATTATGTTTTTCTTGTCTTTTAAAAGAATATGCTATAGAATGTGTTTCTATTTTATTGCATTTCAGTTGAGATTAAAGTGCCCTCGGTTCACAATTTTGGCCATTGCAGTTTAGATAAAGAGCTTGGGCTGTTTTACCCTTGGCAACTTTGTTTTTTAAAGAGGTTTATCGAAATATAATTAAGAGATAAATTATTTAATTTTATATATATATTTTTATTTAATTTTTAAATATTTATCACAACATACATGATCATAGTTGAAATGGAAAAAGTATTAATTAAAATTTATGTATATTTTAAAAAAAGGTTATTTTAGGTTATTCATCCATATGAGTATTTTATTAACGTTATTCAACATTTATACATATTTATTACCCCAACTCTCTCTTACTTTTATGCACAACAATTGCCCCTTCTAATGTGACTACTCTTTCATTGTCTCAACGAAAAAAACTCGTAAATTTATGTGTATATATCCTAATCTTTTTGTTATTTGAATTTTTTAAAAAAATTTGTTATTATTTTTATACTTTAAAAAAAAAATTCTTAAATGCCAAAATTGGTTGTATTTTAAATCTTCAAGATCCAACAATAAACATCTTAGAAGTTGTGTTATATATTAAAATTACAATATTGAAATCCAAGATTGTGTTTTCACCATTTGTGAAATTTAGGTATGATTTTTGGATTTTGAATATCCATAATGCAGTTTTGGACTTTCAACCGTTTGAAAATGGGGGGCGATTGTAATAGAAATGATTTAAATATAAATATATTAAAAGAATGAGTTATCAAACATTATTTGGCCGACTCAATTGGCCAATTACTAAATAGCTTAACTGGCTAAAACCAGATAAATATTAGTCTTCTCTTATTTTTTTCTTTTTATTAAAATTTATTTTTATTCTACACTAGGCCGACCTTGCGCATTAGTCAACAGTCCAATCCAGTGTGTTTAAACCCGATAATGTTTGATCTAGATTGCCAATCCAAATGGGAGTCGGTTTGAGACCAAATTGGTTATAGTTCTAACCCTACCACCCCTTCTTTCTTATTTTTTTTCTGTTTTTTTAAGCTTATCTAATATGTTATTAGGTCCTTTTAAACCCCGTATTACAACTATTGTTAATTTTTTATTTTATTTAGCTTTCAATTTTTTAGATCACCAATTCTTACTGATCCAGATCTAATATTGATTGTCAATCTACAATCTAACACAAACTTATGGGAGAATGATCTTCCCCATTGATCCAGATTTTAAAACACACAATCCAGTCTATATATTATTGTCATAAGGAGAAAGAATATTGTCCATCTCATTATTTTCAAGAGGGACGTCAATGCCTCTCAGGCCACATTTCACAGTGGACACAGTTTTTATGAGTGCATGTAGAAATGAGTCGCCTCTTAAAAATCTATTTTTGAGATGGAGTTTTGGACTTAATTTTTAAGGATATGTAATCTCTAACATGGAGATCATGGATATGAAAAAAATAAATAATTTTTAAAAATAGTAATTAATAATTATATCAAGAAAACATTTGGATCGTTAGTTTCAATTGTTTTTATTAGGACAACCTATTTAGATCTATATTTAATATGGATGCTTTATGCATTGGGACCATCCAATCTGCATGAAAGAATTATCCTTTCATATTTGAATTAACTTCCTCTATAATTACTCTCAAAATACTATTATTAAAAATTTGTCCAATTGCATCTGGTTCCCATGAGATTTATATTATCTATTGTAAATAGATGGTAGATGTGTCATAACTTGAAGTTGACATATTGTATATCAAGCGCATAAAAATCAAATCCTTTTAAAAAATTTTACTCTCAAGTATTTGTAGTTTTTTACTCCACTATCTTTATTTTTTATCCCAAAAGTATCAACAAATAGCTAATAATATAAATTTAGCAACTAGAAAACTATGTTGCATCTACGGGTGGCAAGGGGTCTAGTTTACGGGACCCTGACCCGAACCCGACCCAAAAATAAATA